ACCAAAAAAAAAAAAAACAAATATCATAATAAGCTGTCACTAAAATACTTGTTTGATGATGACCTAAATTGGTTAATTGAATTACATTCTTTTACAAATTGTGGTAGCTTATTAAATTCGTTCAAGTTTTTATGAAATATACTATTCATTCCAAATTTAGTGTTAGTTTTATTAATGCAAAAATTGTTATTTCCTCTCGTATTGTAATCATGAACATCATTATTTCTCAATAAGACTTTTTGAAAGTAATTGGGTAGCAATCCTTTATGCAGCTTAAATATAAAGATCATAGTCACAAATAATATACGTTCTTCAACTGAAAATCAGTTTAGACACTGTAACATTAATTACACTTTTTTACATATACGAAACAAAAAAAGTTTTTTAGATATTTCTTCAATATTATATCGTCGTTTTTTCCGTCACAGAAAAAAATTGTGTATTATACACGGGAAAAATATTAGATTTTAGCTCTCGGTTTTTTGTCAACATAACACAACGTCGAGCTAAAATCTAATGCTTTTTTCCCTTGTATAATAAATAACTATTTTTTGCGAATAAAATCAGCATGACTATTTAGTTTTAAATTTTTATCAATTATAAAACCCAAATATTTTATTTCAGTCTCAATTTTATAACAGCATTTGCCCAAAAAATTTGATCATACTTATAAGATGATGCCAAAATCATACCTTTTGTTTTACTGACATTTAGTTTAAGTTTATTATTAAATAAATATGTTTCAATGCTATTTAAAGACCTATTCATTTCAACAATTGCCTAATCCAAATCTTCATGTATACAATAAACCAATGTACCATCTGCAAAAAGATTTATACAGCAATGTGGTTAATACCATTTAGATAAATAGTTATAAATATAGTTTAAAAAACTAAAAAACACGCTTTTAAAGAACATCGAACTAAAAATTTAACTTTTCAGTTCGATGTTCTTTAAAAGCGTGTTTTTTAGTCTTTTTAAACTATATTTATTTTATCTAAACTTTGGGATCAATCAGCCGTATATTGTTTAGAAAAATTACCATTGATATTTTCCGATTCCAGAGAAGGAGCCTGAAAATCAGCTACCAAGCCCAAGGCAGCGGGCGCGCAAAGGAGGGTTACAAATAAGGCAGCAGAAATACATGTAAAGTGATTTCAAGTTATATCAAGGAGATTACGTACAGCGCCATCTGCCCGCGAGTAGATCAAGCAATAAGGTTGATAAATGAAGGAGGTTACATACAGCGCCATCTGCCCGCGAATAGACCAATCAATAATGTCGGTACTTCTGTCAAATACAAATCCCGAGCTTGAGAGTTACAAACAAAAGCAAGATTTATACAGTGTGATTCGGAAATATGATTATTATCATTTAGATAAATAATAAAAAACAATGGACCTAACACACTACCCTGGGGTATGCCAGTCTCAATAATAATGAGAGAAAAGACACGCCCGAAAAAGCCATTGTATGGCGAAACACGTGTTGCGTTTTTGTAAAACTGTTTGGTGAAAATCTCAGAATAAAGTGTTTTATGAATACGTATCCCATAATACTTTAATTTTTCAAGTGAAATATTTCGAAAAATTGTTTCAAATGCCCTTTTAAGGTCAAGAAATATTGCAACAATGTACTGATTTCTATCATTTTTCCATTCAGTAAAACAAATTGTAAATACGTTGAACATGAGTGTCTTTGAATATCAAACTCTTGAAGATGATCACTTGTGATCGAAACACATGTTGAGGTGTTAAAATAATGGTTTGGTGTTGGGAAAAAACTCCAGTAATATGAGTGTCTCTGCTTTAAAACCTGATTGGTTGCCTAGAAACAATTCATTGGTATTAAAGTATTGAATTAATTGGTTATATAGACAGTTCTAACACTTTTTCAAGAGTTGGTAATATATTCAATGGTCTAAAATGTTCAGCAAATTGTAGTCATTTGTTTTTGTAGTTGCAATTCTTTTTCATTTCATTTAACTCTTGTTATTCTAATATTACTCAGTAAGAGGATTGTACAATCTGTGGAGCTAAACATGCTATTATTATTAGAAGAAAAACTTTAGAGTCTCACCCAACATATTTTATTTCCATCAGGAGAAAAACTGACGCTATGAACCCAGCCTCCACCAGAGCTGGAATTGACGAACTCGGCCATCAACTGCCCCAGAGGCATCTTCGTACCCCACGGCGTAGCTTCAGGGGTCTTCTCGATATCTTTAATGTAAGCGGAGAAAATCCTAACCTTGTAATCGGACGACCCGGCCCCAAGAAGAACATTGTTGTGGTGCCAATCGAGATGCGTAACCGTCGAGCGGATCGGCTTCTTGATGTGCTTCGACACCCACCAGTCGTTTTCAGATTCAAAGTAACACACCGATATTAGCCTCGCTCCCGATCCGACAGCGAACTTGTTCTCGTTCGGGGACCACTTGACGCAGGTTGCAGCACGGTTTATTCTCAACAAAACCAGAGTAGGTTTCCACTTGCCGTCTTTATCTTGCGACCAGACGTAGGCGTTACGGTCCGCTGCACAAGTGACTATTCGGTTGGTGTTGGGGGCCCAGTCTATGCCCATCACTCGCAGGTCGTGCTGGTTGAGTGTGTCCACCAGCTTCCATTCCGATCCACTTCTTTGGTAGATGTGAACTTCGTGATTGTTAGGAGATAGAGCGATTTCTGAAAACCAAAAGGTTATCTTCAGCATCTCTCAACATCAATAACTCAACTGCTGCAACATAAACTTTTGTGAGACTTTGCAAGTATTCGTCAGATTGTGCATACTCTCTGCTTGTGTTGTTGTATTGTGTCAAGTGTTATAACACAGGCAAGTATACTTGCCTGTAAAAATTATATCAGTTCATTTTGTTTTCTTAAATAATCTACTTGTTATCTACTTCAAAATTGTATTATTCTTATAATTTACTTTAAATCCATTGTATTGCATCAAGTACTACATAGCACTGTACTACTTATATCTGAATTGGGCTTCCCATGTATATAAATAAATAAAAAGAGCAAAGGTTCAAGCATTGATCCTTGTGGGACTTCTTTTTCTTGTTCAACAGCACCCCTAGCACCGTTACTTTCTGTATCCTCTCCTGTCGGACTTTGTGAAATCCAAAGCTACCCCATGAACTAAATAAGGTAATCTGTGTCATGATAAATTGAAAGCTCTAAAAAACTCAATAAATATACCACATAGCTCATTACTTACGAGTCCTGTCCTTGTTCCAAGCGTGGCATGTTATGGGGCTTACGTTGGTCCCGAACCTGTGTTGTTCAGTCATCTAAAAGGTGATTCATGAAATTATTCCTGAGGAAGAATGAGCGATTTTGATGTTTTACCTTTGAAACCAATTCGTGGACTCTGGTCAGTCAACACGAATGAAATGTTAATGCTCAAGTAATGCTCGAACCACAAGATATAATGCTAAAAGAACTTATACTTGTGCTCCAACTCTCAAAACGAGCTTCAAAAAGTAAAAAACACACCCTTTTTTTAATCTTTTTTCTCTTCTTCTTCTCTTACGTTAGATTTGTCCGCCTAACCTTGTGCCAACTAGTCGGATTTTCCTTCTCGAAACGTTTCTACTGTATTTTTTGTTTTCAACCAATCCCACTACTTATTCAAAAAACCAGTTGACTTCTACCATAAATTATAATAAATATTACTTTTGTATGTGGAGTTATGTTTTCATGTCTATTCGAATACGTTAATCGCGACCCGTCTCTCACAGCTGCGGTGTCCGAGTGGTTAAGGAGATGGACTTGAAATCCATTGGGCTCTGCCCGCACAGGTTCGAATCCTGTCCGCAGCGATCTTTTTTTAATTTTTTTTACCAAGTAAAGCAAAATGTGAATTACAATTTTCTACAAAGTCTAGAATTATTTTGTTTTCTAGAATATATAACATATCCTAAACCTAATTTTATGAATAAACATTTTGTGAATGCTTTTTCCATCAAAATCTACCAGGCCAATATTTATTCAACAAAATCCTTTATGGCTTTTATAACCCCATTATCAAGTATAAAACTGGACAGTTTTATACTTAATAATGGGGTTAAACCCGAAATCGGATCAGTAATTACACATCAAGTTACTCAAGATTAATAATTACTGCTAACGGTTATTATAATTATAATAGTAATAATAATATGTTTTATTGTCCAAAGAACATCAGGTCTTATTGATAAAGCTGTAAATTTTCTTCAGTTACCATCATCTATACTATATACATATATATACACACATATACATACATATAGAGTACAAATCATATTAAAATAGCTTAAATACAGCGAGAAGATATATCTGCACAAATATAGACATACATTAAATAATTGTATCCAAATACATACGGATACTGAAGACATATATTATATAATAAAGAAACAATACAGATATAAAAATTGAAGTAAACCGTACTTTGTATGTATATTAAAGGTATATCACATACATTTTTCACTCCTTAGAAAGGCATTCCATACATTGAACGGGAATCAATGAGTGAGAAATAAGCCGATTTAGCAGCAGATAGACTAAGTTCCCTATAAGTTATTCTCACTGCAAAGCACCCTGAAGCTAGCTTTTTATTGAGGGTTACAATGTGATCAGCAAACTTAAGTTTATCGTCAATTATTACTCCCAAAAATTTAGAACTAAGTCTGTTTCCTTTTTTATAAATGGTATGCTAGGAATAAAGCAGCGGAATGATATTAAGTTTGTTTTGGAAATATTAAATGATAGCAGTCACACTAGTTTTCATTTTTTATATCTGAGCTTAAAATCTCGTGGAGATTACATAATGTTTTATTACGCCATAATATTGTGGTATGCCTTAATATTGTGATATTGCGACGAAAACGCCATCTATGGGATCTACAGAGAACTCAATCCACGAATATCAAAGATAAACGAGACTCCCCTACTATTTTAATGCCTGAGGGATGGATGTGTGATTTCGGCTTGTTTTAGGTTTAAGTTTGTTTTGCGTGGTTTTGGTATATACATTAGGTGTGAATGACATGCCCTTTAATTTGAGTAGCTCTGATCACGAAAATCTAAATAATAAACACTTCCTTGCCAAATGAAAATAGTTTCTTTCATCAATTCGCTTTCGAAAATTTATTTATAAGTACAAAATTTGTAATACATGTATTTTTCCTCTGCTGGCTATTCTGTTTATTTATTATCGTTGAGTTGTCATGCTAATTGTTCACACCGTTACGTTATTTGAATATTGAAATGACTAATCGAAAATAAATACAATGAAAACAGCAACTGAAACACAAAAATGGACAATATGAACTTGAACTAGATATGTAACTGACAATAATAACATGTACAATGACAACTTTCGAACATCAAATGAAACACAATAACACCATCTTTGGAAACTATGGAGAGTTTTCATAAAAAGCAAAAGATGGTTAGTGTTCACAAAATTCCTAAAAATCGTAGACTACCATAACCTCACCAAAGAGAAGAGGATATATGATTCTAGTAAATGAAATAATGATAAATTGCCATATTATTCAACATGCCAGGGTGTAGAGAATAAGCATGAACGATCATTGTTTGAAGTCATCATCAGCGTACACATCGATAAAAACTGTTTCCTATAGTTTGTAGCAGTTGTCACACATGTTTCGATAAGACAGAAATCAGGGTTACTATACGCTTATTCGGGTTTGTTGTTCGAACGATTCTAAGACGTTTCCAAATAGTTATCCAGCTGATTATTGAGAGTAGACAAGCGCAAAACTTTTCAATTCTCAAGTGTACACATTTGACAGTTCGAAAACCGTTCAACTAGCGAATCCGAATAAAGCCTATCCACAGAACTATAACTTAGAATTATAGTTCTGTGAGCCTATCTAATCTTCATCCCAATCTAATTCTTATATTGGCAACACCGATTGTCTTTGACAATTGACATAAGGCAACCCTTCCAAATATTAGATTTTTATTTATTTATATATTTGTGATATTCATCTCAACATTTGTAATTCCAATCAAACTAGTAAATCGAATGCAATAGTCAATTAACGTAGTTCAATTCAGGCACGTGAACGTCGATGTCACGCTGTGAACGTCACAATTAAAATAACTCCGCCATGTTGATTTCGTGCTCTCAAAATAAGAAGTGTAGTGTCATCACAATCAGCTAAAGCGATTAAATACTGGTAGAAAAGGTATTTCATTCAAAATTTCCGTTTTGCGTTTTGTCATTCCTCGCCCGAAATATATCTGGTGGACTATAGGTTGATGAACGTACGGCCGTTCCCAACTCTAAGTGGGTAAGTTGAATGCTAATTTCTATATCTGTATCTATTTTGTCAACACTAGCTTTTGAATTTTTTGTTCGTGTTTTGCTTTGGAATTCCGCAGTCGCTTCAATACATGGACTCAAATAGATCAAAAACAGTGTTTGTCAGGGCTGTCCCCTTTATTTCTCTCTAGTTCGAAATATGTTCATTCCTTGTTACTGTGTCATCTCTGAACTCTTGAAGAGGGTGAAATTCCAACTAGGCAATGGCAATAATTGAAAAAATATGTAAATAAATTTTCTGTTCCCAAATTATTTTAGTCATGTGATAAACAAGAAAGGTCACTTGAAAATACAATTATGGGATTGATAGGTATGTTGTTGAAGTTTCTAAAACTGAAGTTTATAGATTAAGTACTAAATATGGAAAGCCTGTTAATGATCCAAAAACCAATAGGTTGTTCCTGTGTTATTGATGTGCCTTTTAAGTGTTGCCATGACAAAATTCTCTAAAAACATGCATAAGACGTTGGAAATAATTTTGGTGCAATTAGTTATTCAATATTGCTTAGCGGACTTTCCATCTTCCACAATCTGAAAACATTAAAAATTGTAATGGAAAACTTTGTACAGGTGTAGAAAGAGAAAACTTCTAGTTCGCTCTGTTAAGAAACTCTAACTTTTGAAACAATTTGCTTAAATCGAGATAACAAAAATTCTACCAAATTTTTGGGAGTACAAATAGATTCCAACCTGAAATGGATAGACGATATAAATAGCATGTGTAGTAAACTTAGCAAGACAGTTTTTGCTATCAGATGAATTAAAAATATAAATCAAAGTGGGGCACTTGCAACATATAATTCACCTTTTCATTCCGTCCTTAGGTATGGTATAATCAATTGGAATAATGCATCAAAGGTACATCTCAATAGAATAATTGTCATTCAAAAATCTGCAGTAAGAAGCATAATCTCTGCCAATAGTGATGAAAAGTGTCGACCAATATTTGCAAAAGTAATGACCCTATACTCAGTTATTGTCTATGAAAATCTGCTTCTTGTTCAACAAAACTTGACGAATAAAGTTACTCACAAGGATATACATCGACATGATACAAGAAATAAATCAAACCTTGTTCCTACAGCTAATAGGTTGAAAAGAACAGATAATATAGGAACTAAAAGCTATACAATGCCTTATCTGTTGGATTTCGTAACTTGCCATTCAGAAGATTCCAAAATTTATTGAAGAAAGTATTAACCAAACATCCTTTATATGAAATTGATCAATTTTTCGAAGTTATTCAAGAAGAGACACTTTTGTGTGGTCACCTCCTGAACTTTTACTCAACTTTGATTATATATAATATGTTAGATATGTGATTTATAATCTGTAAAGCTCATGGCTTTACATTTCAGTCAATTTTTATACGATTGGAATTTTATCATGTTAACTCGTATTTTTTTGTAACTCTAATTTATCTACATGCAGTTTTTAGAAACAATATTGACGAATCTTATCCTCTCAAACCTATTTTAGAAATTGTATTGACGTGTCTAAAAACTGTGTGTTTCTTTAGACTAATAAAATTATTGTTATTATTATGATTATTACTGCATTTTTGCAGTAAATGTTGAACGAAAGTTATTTTCTGTTTAGCAGGTTTTTATTGACCTTCTTTAGGTATTTTCACCTTCCTTTGACATCTGTCTGAGAAGTTGAGAAATAGAAATAATCAGGAGAGGAAGAGCTGCGTATAGACCTAAATTTTGTCAATTTCTGTAGACGGAGGCGGATTTTGGCCTTCGAAATTTCAAGATAAGTATTGTATAATTTCTTAGCCCTTTATCAATAATGGAAATCATTAAATACGACAAGTTAGGTCGGTAGAGTCGGCGTCCATTTATTCATTTGAAAAATTCACTATATCTTGCAGTTTTCCATTTCGAAATTGTCTTATCTTCAAAGTTCTTCATCATTTGTTAGAGATTTTAAATTTTCATACTTCTCCGGCAGAAGTCGAAACAGATACCTGCGGAAGCGTATTTCGGCCTTTAAAACATTAATACGTCAATGAAAATCTCAATTCTTTTTGTTGTTAGGCAGAATGGTCAAATACAAGAAGTTAATGATGAACAACGACAACTTACTGATTAAGAGAATCCTTCAGAGGTTTATATTTATATCAAGCGGTAACTTTTTGAGAAGTTTTCTGTTTGGCCTTCATCACTCTTGAGCAGATTCTCTGTTGATCTAGATCCATTTAATTTTCAGATTGTGGAATGTCAAAAATCCAAAAGCATAGTCGCGATTTTAATATAACCTCAGTGTTTTTTTTGATAACTTTTAATCACCTTCTTAATGACAATACATATCTTAAATTGTAGACATCTAAATCTATCAATACCATAAGCCAGATGCTTTTGAATTGCACACTAAAGACTTGTGATTTTTAGTTAAAACACTTGAGGAAAATGAACCCGTCTCTCTATTACGAGGTCTGTTCAAAAAATAAGGTGACTATTTATTTTTCTCAAAAAATATTCATTTATTCGTCAATATCTATTTTGTTTCCTTCAAAGTAGTCCCCCTCAAATATAATACAGTTGTGTCAGCGTTTTTTCAATTTTCGATAGGAACAGAAAAAAGTCTGGTGAATACGGTGGCTGAGACATGCTTACGGTGTTGTTTTTGTCCGAAAAATCACAAACAAGCAATTACGTTGAGCAGGTGTATTATCGTGATGCAAAAGCCATGATTTATTTTTCCACAATGCCGGACGTTTTCTTTATATTGCTTCTGGCAAGTGGAACATAGCATCAAGATAATATTGCTTATTGTGGCGTACAACTATGCGGCATAAACTCCTGATGCACTACGCCATGGTAATATAAGAAAACCGTGAGCAAAACTTTGACATTTGATGGCATGGTTTTTTGTCTTGGCTGTACTGGTCTCTTCCATTGGGACGATTGAACTTTGGTTTCGACTTCATAATCATATACTTATGATTCGTCACCAGCTATGACCCTTTCGACTTACTGATGAACAACGCTTGCAAATTATTGAATTTTATTATCAAAATTCTTGCTCGGTGAAGAAAGTGCATCGTGCACTTCTTCCAATTTATGGGCAGTTTCGTCGGCCTACTGAGGGAGCTATTCGGAAGCTTGTGACTAAATTTCGAACCCAGTTTACATTATTGGACATTAAACCACCAACACGCATACGTAGAGTGAGGACCGAAGAAAATATATTGCGGCTGTATCCGCCATTGTTCGTGATGACCGTGAAATGTCGATTCGCCGCCGTTCGCAGCAATTTGGCCTCTGTTACTCCACTACGTGGATAATTTTGCGAAAGGATTTGGGTGTGAAACCTTATAAGATACAGCTGGTGCAAGAATTGAAGCCACACGACCTCCCACAACGTCTAACATTTCTTCAAAGACGACAATGCCCGAAAAGTTACTGTGAATGGCGAGCGCTACCGTGTGAAGATTGACGACTTTTTGTTGCCCAAAATGGACATGCCTGACATGTGATTTCAACAAGACGATGCCACTTGCCACACGGCACGCGAAACAATGGCCCAATTAAGAGCTACCTTCGGTGAACAGTTTACCTCACGTTTGGGGCCCGTCAATTGGCCGCCTAGATCGTGTGATTTAACGCCTTTGGATTATTTCTTGTGGGGTCATGTTAAGGCTCATGTCTTCAGGGATAAACCAGCAACGACTGACGCTCTGGAAGTCAATATTGAAGCATTTATACCTGAAATGCAGGTCGATATGTTAGAGAGAGTGTGTCAAAATGGGACCTTGCTAAAGCGGAGCCGCGGACATTTGCATGAAATCATCTTCAAACATTAAATTATATTGATCCTTCTATCGATTCTAGTAAAGATTTCATCAGTTTTTTCAAATTTTTTGTGTCGTTTTGAAAATCAAGTCATATATCTCTTGAATAATCACCTGTTACTATTTGTTAAAAAATTCCTGATTCAGAGTACCATCACGGTATACCACTGTCAACATTCCAAGTGTTTTTGAGCACGTCTTTCTGAAACACTTCTAACACAGATAACTACAGGAAAAATGTTTCATTATTCATATACATAACTGGACACCGTATTTTACGATTCCTTTAATCATAATTGCAGTTCTTTCAAATGGATTGATGAATCTTTGAATCGGGACGAGAACCAATTCGAACAGCGATTCAGTGACCAAATTGAGGCCATCGCTATCAACAGTTCGCAATTATTTCCAATATCCCACGTTGGTGTTGAGGCTAACACCAAGCCTACTGCGCCGACGACCTGGGTGCAATTCCGTAACCGATAAATTTTTATTTAAATTTCCATTGTTCCATTCAAATTGTTCTCACTGTTGAAGTGAGAACAATTTGAATTTCCCGCTATACGCGCGGTAACTTCTGATTGGTTGACAAGATGACGGCAAAAGTGGAGGAGTGGGGGTGGACTGGAGAGGTGCAACCCCTACTTTTGGTCAAATTTTAGTGATTTCGGAATGAACTTCGTCCCTACACTCTTCATGCTTAAAATTTTGATAAATATTATTCGGTAGCAGAAAATCTATGAACACGCAGAGCACTTGTAACTCAGTCACCAACAAAATGAATATGTTTAACAGCTGAAACTGTGTACAAAGTTCGTAGCCCTCGAAATGTGAACATTCACCAAATTTTTTAACAGACCTCGTATATTACTTATTCAAGTCACGTCGAACATCAAAATCACACAATTTTTGTTCCTTAGAAATTGGGGTCATGGGTGAAATGAGGATATTGTGTCAGAGAATTATTGACCCATACAAATTATCGATGATTGTCACCAGTAATATCTTTTTGACGAAAACATTGCATTTCAGAAAATAATTTGCTTTTTGATAGACGACAGAAATTATCAGTTACAAAACACAAAGTGAAGAAGTACATAGGAATTTGATAACTGTCGACGAATTGGAATATTTGCTTTGCTCGCTTCGGTAATTATTTGAAGAAATAATATTTAATTACTTATCTGTTATCCAACAATTGGAGGCAACAATCGAACGGTAAAATAAAACAGTTACTGTTTTATATTCCATTGCCTTATCAACTTTGGGTTTTTACAAAAAAAGATTGGTATTTTTTTGGGTCTGAAACTGTAACAAACAAAAATTTCAACAGAGATAACCTTATACAAATGGAAGTATAGTATATCCATTCCCAATTGGAATGTCAATAAAAATAAGAGTACAGTCATAAACATTTCTTGCCTGTGGCGCCTAGTTGCCCAGATATAGTAAACGTGCTATCAAATGTAGTTGAGGAATAAAGGCTCGGCTAGCTGGACTGGCTGAGTACTAATTTTTTGTCCGTTTCACAATATTTCTTTATCAGTGCCGTGTGTTCGTGGGGTTAGGTGAGGTAGTGAGTGGTTTTGCAAACCGATTTTTGAAAACTTTTTCTAGAGATCATGCACCCTAACACCAAACTGATATTTTTGCACTCGACGCGCGTTTCGCTAACAAGGTTAGCATCTTCAGGACAAGCAAATTGATACTGAATCTAATGACAGGGTTAGCTGTTTATATACCTAAAGTTTTTTGGTCCGATGTGGACTTTGTTTGTTAAATGATGATTATTTCAATTAATTTTTTGGTAATTTACTAGTGGAACCACTACCTGCAAATTAATTTGTCCGCTTTTTAATCTATTGTTGACAAATCAAGTGTGTGGCCCACGTTATAAAAGAAGAGAACAAATATTATGTGCAAAGTTCCATAAATAGAGAAGAAGAATTTTGATTTTTCTAGCAATTTTGTTGGCCTCTATTATTTTGTAAATATATGTTTGACGAGAATTCGGTGTGATTATTTGTGTTTTCATTGTATTTTAGACTTTTCGACTTTGAAATCAATTAGCTTAAATTTCGAAGTTTTTCATAGTTACCCATGGTGGAAAAATTCAGTTGAGATAACTTTTTCATGGGGTGATCAATTGCTATGATTGTAAAAATAAGTAAGTGAAAAACTACCACTGAAAAATAATATGCCGACGCTTATGTCGAGGCGGGAATTCCTTCTCTGTGCTGTTCCAATTGGTATTGGAAATACTATACAGTAACCGAAATAATTAATTTATTCCATTTGGCTTTTACACACTGTATAGTAATAAGCTGAAAAGAGGCAAAAAATTGAAATTTAAAATTTGGAGAAAAAAATCAACAGCATCAATGTATAGAGCACATTTTCTATCGATTATTGGTATATACCAAGGCACAGTAAAATAAATATTTATGGAGATATAGAGCTGCAAAGACACATGAAATAAAAACGGACAAAATTTTCGAAACAAACTTATACCTTTTGCATTTCTTCAAAGGTGTAGTGTTGGCATATGGTATAAGTGAGGACAAACATTAAAAAGACTAGCACAGAGTGCTACCACAGAGTTCTAGTACTCTTTAGATTACAGATAAGATTCTTATTGATGACATTGCCAAAATCCATCAACTTCCATGTAAATGAACAGTAACGGATAGTTTTAGAACCGAGACAACATATCTACTAAACCCTTTTCGGGAGGTCCCCCCACCCCCCCACACCATCTCGTAAGATTTATGTGGTATTGATTTATCATTATCGGGATTATTACCTCGCCTAGGATATTAGAAGCCCTAAAAGCGTGTGTGACCGGCAATTTGCATGTTGTTTTAGTTTTGATAACTCTCCCTGTCTTCGATAATAGGCAGTTGCATGTCTCCTCTAACATTATTAATGTTTTCGCAGCAGCAAACTACTCGGATCTAACAGCATCAGCAGTGGCAAGCAAACCTCAAAGTAAGTCGAATCACTTGTGATTTATTTGGTGCATTTGATGATTGAGTGTCGTATACTGGGTGTTCACTATTCATGGTTTACACACATGTTGTATTTTAACTTATTTTTTTTGAAAATTTGAACACCAAATGTGGCTCTGTTGAACGTTTCGGCATTTCTACTTATAGTTGTTGGCGAAAAAACCATCAATTTTTTTTTTCAAGTCGAACATCCTGTATAGTCATTAAGGTTTTGGGAGCCTCATAATTTTCTGAGAGAGCGGAGAAGATCAAATACATTTCTGAATAATTTTGTTTAATTCATATATTGTTATTAAGCACATATTTTGAATTTATGTATTCATTTTTTATTTTTATCTTTCACATAATATGTATTCATTTGTTATTTTCTTTTTTTTTCACATATGTTCATATACTTTGTCAGTGTGACTCATTTTTAATGGAAACACCCCCCTAAAATTTGAAGTTGTAAACCGATTTTAATAATTTTTTTTTGAAATGTCAAGTACTAAAAGGTCTACCTTGGGACAAAATTTGAAATGTTTATTAAAGTTTGAGGGCATAGTACGATATTTTTTCTTAGTCGAAAATCGGGATTTTTTATTAGCGATTTTTTTATTAAAAAATCACTACGCCACTGGATTCAGAGTGTCTCCAAAATTTCATTCATTATTAACAAAGTTATGACAACTCAAAAATTCGAAAACTCACACAGCTAACAGTTACAAAAAACACCCTATATCAACAGATATAGCCATGAGAATATTTTTTTTATGATTTCAACAATAAAGTGCCGCCAGATGGAAAAAAACAAATAGCGTAAATATTTTTAATGAAAATAACGGAATTATATTCAGGTTTTCACGCAAATTAACTAAAACTAAGACCTAATATTTCAATTTAAATCTCAGTTGCCATGAAAATGATATTACAGTTTGACACTTGTGAAAGATTCAAGTGTACTATTGTCAACAATATTCACCTTGAATTTCACTAGTTCGGACTTCCATTGTCTATTATATAAAATGATTTGAAATCCCTGAAACAAGTAAAAAAGAATAATTAAAAAAGAATAGTTTCGACTAAGAAAAAATATCGTAGTATGCCCTGAAACTTTAATGAACATTTCAAATTTTGTCCCAAGGTAGACCTTTTAGTATTTGACATTTAAAAAAAAATTATTAAAATTGATTTACATTTTCAAATTTTAGGGGGGTGTTTCCATTAAAAATGGGTCAAACTGTATAAATATATGTGAGATCTTGTTTAAAAAGATGTATCTTTTTTATGACTTTGCACAAGTTTCACTTCTCAAGGTTATTATTAGTTTATTTATAAGTTTGTTTATCATTTTCACCAAAATCGCTTGTGAGTGAGGAGGCATATGTCCGCTTTTATAAACAGGAGGGAACGAAGCAGCACCTGTGAGGTGTTTTTTTTTCCTTTTTTTTTTTCATGAACTAAATTATGTTAATTGGTTTGCTTTTCATGATTCTTCTGCTTTGATAAATATTTTTCGTTATAAATATTTAGATATTAGATAGAACCAGATCTTTTTTTCAAAACCATTATGTATAACTCTTCGCTTAGTGTGGGATAAACAGATAAGGCAGACAGTGGAACGGAGTGAAAACTTGGTGAAAAAAAATTATTTCTTTCCTTTTTTTAACTCAATTTGTTATTGCAATCTTGTGTGTCTAACTTGGTTTCAATTATGACGCGCTCCGCCCGGTATTTTTTATGTTCTCAACGGTTTCAAAGCAACCTGAACCTTTCTTTCCTTATCTATATCATTGTTTGTGCGATTTGTTTTTTATTTGTCGATCTGTCGAGTGAGATTACGCGTTGTTACTGTTTTGTCCAGTCTCCTTCGCAAACGTTACTGGGTTTCATACACGATTGCATCAAAAATCCAAAGTGTTTTGCCAGCGGTATGACGTCGAAAAGTGATTCGCTGGTAAGTGTGTATCACAAATAAATATAGTTTAAAAAACTAAATAACACGCTTTTAAAGAACATCGAACTGAAAAGTAAAAAATATTTTTTTAAAGTAAGCTCAAAATAAAAACTCATGAGCATCTATATTAACTTATTTCTATCAAACCTGTATTACGGCAACCCTCCGAAAAAAAGAGCTCGGGGGTCTGAACACGGTCACCATCACTCATCTGCTCATGGGAGCTGCCACCTTCCTTTTCCTGTTTCCTCTTGTTCGACTTCTTTTCGGTATCTTTGGGGAACGAGACCTAGAACGCTTCCTCTTTCGACTGCCCATATTTGATGAAATTTCACAAGTTATTTGCCGTTGTATAATCCCACTTCTGATGTGAACTTGAGAAAATAAGATAAATTGAATCTCCACTTAAACAACCATTTATTTCAATAATAATTAAGAAAGTTATTGAACAACGAACTGTACGCCTATACAGGGCTTTTCATGATGAGCGTTAATTAGCCGTTTCTGACAAACTATTTAACGGATCAACCTGAAAATTCCACAGTATGCAAAAGTCAATATGACCTACACGCCTAAAATATTTTAGACGAAGCGGCGTTGTCGCTTCTACTATAAAGTAGAGGCTTCTTTGATTTTTCAAATGGAACACCCCGTATATAATATCATATTATGATTCATTATCACTTTGTCAACAAATTCATATACTATTTCCCTATACCTATCTATCGCCGTTTAGCAGATATAAATTAATTTCGATATTTTATTTACCAAACATGAACTTTTATAAATGCTGATAATCTTGAACTCTCTTGCACTAAAACGATCAAATTTGAAATGGAGTGGA